CATAGTTAGTTCCTCCAACAAATCCATGGATGAAAAGCACAAGATGAAAACCATATTGAATTGGTCACACCTTCACAGTTGTTGGTTGGAGGGAAACGTTTTGACCGATCTAGAGTCCTCAGATGTGCTTGGGCAGACTCTTCAGAGTTTGAACACTTCTTGCACAGTAACTTGGAGTGGGATTGAGCGAGCCAAGTGGCATGTGCAGGCCCCCCAGCCATCAGACATGAGATCCATGTTTGGATATGTTAACTTCAAGGTTGTTCATCCATACCTATCCATACCTTTCTCATCCGTTCTCTAAGATTTTACCTGCTATTTATAGATCTCCAGATATTCAGAGACAGGATTAAGCCATGTATTCAGCCCAATGAATGGATTCCCACACCTGTGCATGGGTGCTCCACTTCACAGTGACTTCTCGGATGGTGATCACCGCAGAACGCGCCTCGCTACGCTGGACGGTGCTCGAATCCAGGTGCTCACCGCAGGTGACGACCGTGCCATCAGGACACCGTGCCCTGGGGGCTCACGTCGGGCTGGACAGGTCCAGAACCATCACTCCAAGCTGGGTAGAACTGATTAGACATAGTCATTTCAGCCGATGGAAGTACTATATACCAGAAGAGTATGGAAGAGTGACCACTTTTGGAGCACCCCCGGCATTTGCAGAGACTCCAGGTTTGGCAGGAAGTGTTTTCTTCAGCAGGAACTGCTCATAGGTCGTTTGTAGGTACAGTACTCTCTTTTGGGGTGCTTGCAAGACAATGAACTGTTGCTAGACCAACCTTGTCCTAAGCATGTTCGATGCCTTGTTTGTAGCTGGAACTGCTTGTGGCAGAATCTTTCTCGTCGATCCTAGTTGAACATGTTCACCTGCCATGCGGTGCTCGTCGTTTCTTGACCTACTGAAGTTGCTTTACAGAAAGCTTTTGGTGTGACCCACCCTTCCCTTCCAGTGCCATGGACCTGAAATGAATCACTTTCCATCTGACTTGCTTCAGTGTCTCTCCAACACCTGAAGCGGGTTCTTCAAACACCCAGGATCGACTTCAACTTCAGATCCTTTACGTTTCCTTCAACACATCCCAAAAACAGATCTATAATCCCTAGGGCTCCAAGTACCTCCTCAGAAGGTGTTTGGACCCGACAATGGCACCTACATAAGAGTGTCGAACAGTCCTCACCGTACCTGAGGTTCGGTACGAAAACGGATCCCTAGGGAAGTAGGTACCTGTAGATCGAAAAATCGCTAGATCCTATATAGGTCGATCCGGACCGAGAGACGGCTGTTGCGGACCGATGAAGGGGCACCTACGCCTGGACACGTGTCGACAAGGTGGCAAAACGGCGGACTGGTCGGGCTCCCCTTAGGCCCTATCCACATCTGGTCTTTCCCCTGCCCAGTTGGTCCACTTGGCGCTTGCCCAGTTGGTCCACCTACTAGGCAGTTGAGGAATAACATCCCATCCATTTGGATTACAAAACCTCTTCATTAGCGCTTTGAGGATTTGAACATAATGGAACATCACTCTCAGAGTGAGAGCAGATGCATGCTTTCCATCGGGTTTCTTTGGTAGACATTTGCGATGCGTGCAAAAGCAAAATCTCCACCGTTTTCGTCCCCGAACCGCTTGAAATCCTTCCGCTCAGCGATCTCCGCTAAATCTCCGCCGTTTCTTTCAGCCTCAAAACGCGACCGACCGTCCCGTGTGGAATCGGCGACGGTCTGCAGAGGCCGAGTTTTGGGCGACGGTCGAGTGGTGGGGGAGGTGGAGAAGAGTAAAAGCCTGGTATGACTTGGATGAGTTGTTTCCCAGACTTGGCCCCCAAGTACAGGCACCCCAACAGACCCGGAAGTAGAAGTCATTTCCAGAAGAAGGAGATGTGAGATGTGGGGCTGAAAAGCTGCGTATATACCACTTCCCTACGCCACGACACGCCTTGAGACTCCAGCTGCTTACCACTCATGGCCAGGCGAGCCAGATGCGTTCCATACGCAGTGCTCGGGTCCTTTGCAGGCGCCCGGACTGACCCGCACGGAGGACCCACCGTCCCCGAACGTGGCCCTGATTCCAGAAAGATGGAGGCCTGCCGACCTCTTGCTTAGCTTAGCTGCTTATATAATTAGCTGCTTGGCTGGAGAGCAGTGATTCTTGTTGTCCTCAGTTTGTTGCCACTTGGGCAAGAAAGACAATTCAAGGCCCGGTTTGATCAACACAGTCAGGTCCCAGGTGACATTTGTTGGAATCCACCTGGGGACCCAACTTAAAGGGGGAACTAGTCATTTTGACTTTCAGTGTATTATATATATATACATTAATAGTATATATACATATTATATATATATACATTAATCCTCATTAATCATAGCTTGCTTCTCAAGCTAACTTGCCACCCTGATCTTCATGGGTTGACGATCTACATGACGGATCAGACCAAGTGCAATGTCATTGGAAGTCTTGCAGGGCTTGGTCCACTTGGTCCCTTCCTAATCTTCCAGATAACAGGACCTGATGGGGAGTCCAGTGCATCCAGCGTCCTGCAGAAAGACATTCTGTCCAGGAATAGAAACGCACGAGAGACTGTCTCATCCTGAGTCCCCAGGCGCGGATCTGAGTTCAAAAGCAGTTACACCTCCTCGACCGGCATTGCTTCACATCCCAGCTCGGGCACTGGGCACTATTAACTTAACAGGCGTGTATGTCGGTGAAGAAAAGAATCGAATGGTCGAACTTGGGGGATCGTTTCATGCTGTGGTTGGGGATATCTAAGTTTTGACCGACAACACATGCTTATGTATGTGAATAATTACAATACACAATACACAAAACACATGCATACATATAACATTATATTACCAAATTTTACCCAAACATATATTGGAAGTCTTGCATAGTGATTCACTGAGATATGCAAGACACCAAGACCATTGACCGCCCCACTTGCCCCGACCAGGCTTATATCGCGGCCAGGCGGGGAGTTGCTGCGGGAACGAGGAACAACCCAAACAAGAAAGAACAACCCAAATTCAACCAACTTGCCCTAGGGCTCCAAGTAGCTTCTAAGAAGGTGTTTGAGGTGGGTTTAGAGGGTCCAACTACCTTTTGAGGAGAGGCACTTGGAGCCCTAGGTTGGGAACACTCAAACATACGTATAAGTTCAGACTCTGCTAGTTTGTGCTGAAGTGTATGACGTTTTTGTCGAACTATATAGGTGAATCATGGTGAATCCCCTTTTTGGTGCATATCTATTCCTTGCTGCAGCATTCCTGGACAGCGTTTTCCAAGATCATCTTTGCAGAAACAGCATGCGTTTGTGGCTGACCTAGGCAGTGAGATATGCCGAACCCACAAGGCCTTCAAGCCCCCCAAAGATCTCCAGCGCATGGGTTACTAGTAAGGAGCCAGGCTTAGGTCGAACTGGCTTTGTCTTTGGAAATGACCGGTTGACCTTTACAGTGGTATACTCCCTAGGGCTCCTGGCCCATCTCCTCAGGTTCGGTGGTTAGATCCCCCTGGCACCCACCCCAACCACCTTCTCAGGAGGTGGTTGGAGCCCTAGGGGGTATACTTGGGATCCGCTGCGAGGGCGTCCAACAGGGTCTGTGATCCACTCGGTCTGCCGCTCGTAGGCGTGGTGCAAGATGCATGTCGACACGGCCGCAGCCCGGGCACCTAGCTGAGCTAGCTATAGCCTTTCTACGAAGAACATGCATTCACCAAAGAGACCGATATCCCAAGATCTTTCAGCCAGGCCAAGAGGTACTGACATACTCCTATCGATTGATCAGCACCACGGGAGTGGCAGATGGGAGCTGGCAGGAAACGGCCGTCGGCAGATGAATCCATGCTGAAACGTTCGGTCTCCAACGAGTCACAGGAAGGCTAGATGCTCATGGCTACAGTCGTCAGTCTTGGCCCTTTGCAATTCCCGTCTTAGACACTCCATTTTTACCGGCACCATTTACAACCCATGGGTTGTTTGTTTTGAGGGGTCAAGGAGGGATTACACTTTCTAGGATTGAAACTAAGAACTGGTACCTGCACCACCCAAAGGGTAGTTTATGGTTTCCATTTAACCCTTTGGGTGGTGCTGGTACTGGAATTTTGTTATCTTGGCAAGTCTTGAAGTCTTCCCCTCAGAAATTTGTGGGCGAACTTTCCTTACAGGATCCCTCCTGGTCGTGTTGATCAGCATGGATGCACCGAACCGCATCTCTTGAAATATATATATATATATTGTCATGTTGAGGTTCTTCAATTCTTTTGAGAGGTAGGTGCCCTATGTTCATGTCCTTCCACAATGAAATAGCGATGTCATGATGATATGCGATGATAGCTTCATCAAGTGAAATGCCGACCCCTTTCCATTTTCCCCGCAAAAGAACAGGCACAAGCTCATAGAACATGTGTTTTGTTCTTTTCCGTATAGCTCACTAAGTTCAGTCATTCTGCGGAGAAAGGATCCCAAAGTAACCCTGGAGTTCCACTGTGCAGGACGTGGATCAAGGGACCTTCTGACCCAGTTTACCTCAGATAGCTTCGCTGCTTAGTGATGTGATTTGATTCAGTCGGATGTACGAAGGGCTCGTGAACGAAGGGCTCTCTTCGCTCCAAGCACGAGAGCGAGCCGCCTGATAGCTCAGTCATGACTTTGATGAAGATTGCTGCAGTTTTTTTGTGCGAAAAGATATACAACTTAGTACAACTGCAGCTGGAAATTCCATGAAGTCCAGCTGATCTACCGCTACTCACGCTGAGACGACTTCCACGGTTTTTTTGTACCTCAGACATCCTCAGACGCCAAAGAGAAGCCATGGTTCCTCAGTTAGAATTGTGTGTTTGGTTCAATTATCTAACACGATCCCAGAAGATACCCTTTGCGAGCCCACATGCTCGAATTCATATCCACTTTCGTACAATTAGTCGGACATGATGGAATTTGTTCGAATTGAACGGCTTCCCTGACATCAGTCCTTCATTCACCTCCGGAAGATCAGCCACACCCTCGGAGCCTAGTATATTCGCGGCCATGGCACAGCGGGCGGTGCATCATGGGGCATTCTTTCCACTTGCGCCGCTGGCAAGTGGGCGGTGTTGCCCGGGACTTGGCCTTCCATGAGATGTGATGTTCTTTTTTTCAGGTTTTTTCCTACCCAGGAAAGGCAGATAACCTGCCCAAGCCTTAGCCCGGGGGGACACCTTTGTGTTTCAGGGAAACTGAGGGAGCCCAGTGGTACCTGCATTAGAAATCAACGAAGTCCTTTGTCATCTGAAAGAGCAATTTTATGCAAAGAGATGCCACATAATTGTTATATATATACAGTACGTAGACTAGGGCCCCCGAACGGGTGGCAAATGGGACACACCTCAACCTCTACGGTGCTATTGTTAGACACCCCTTAGGGTACTGGGATGGGTTGTTTTGCGTGTCACAGTCGCTGGGTCAGGGACCATACGAATGGATGACTCAGGCTTTCTTGCTTCGTCACCTTTGGTGTCCCTCCTTTTCCGGAAGCTGGACGTCGCTTGGCAGACGCCTTGCAAAGGCAAGAATTCGGGATTGTGTGGGAGTGTTGATGTACGTAGATCATCTCACTTGAGGTGCTTGATTGCACTCTTTTGGTCATATGCTTGGATTATTTTGTTCCCAGGGGCTGATGGCTCAAGGTTTTGACCCACTGATGTGCAGCAAGACGCAAGACGCAAGGTATCCCTTGGATCCTCGCTGCCACAACCTGACGCTCATCGCCGCCACCACGTGCGCCCGTCGGCTTGCATAGGAATCGTTTGATATTATTTGGATATATATGGAACCCACCACCCCAAAAATGCATCAACATATCAAAAGGTCCTCAAAGCACCTTCTTACAAGGAATGACAGGAAAACAAAGGACGGTCGATGACGGTCGTACCTCCTATCCGTGAACCATGCAGTCTGGAGACTAGACCTCCCATCCGTCCGACCGTTTCCAGTTCCTCGCCACAGAGCCTCGGCGTCATGCAGTTGGACACTGGAGCTTTGTTTTGTTTTGTTCTTCGGCAGGCTACACTCTTCCTCCAAAGGGTATCCCAGTTGCACGACTTGTCCAGCAGTTGGTCAAATATACGGCTTTGGACCCATACTTTGATACCCTGGGAAAAGCATCTTTGCATGAGCTGTGTATAAACTGCCTCCTTGGCCGTCCTTCTTTTCCATAGAATCTGCTGGATTCCACCAAATGACTGAGTTTTTGGAGTCCAAGGTCTACGCGCAAAAAAAACAGAATTGTGGAGCTCTCGCAGCACAAATCTGGGATTGATCACTGAGGTAGACAGAAATATATAGACTGCATGTGACAGAAATAGTCAGAAATATACAGAACACCTGATGAAGCTCCCAGCGTTTTCACGGAGATTTCTTCACTGATTCACCTCAGAGGTACATGGCCAACTCTGATTTCTGGCACTTGGCACCGCGCCCGGGACGCAAAGCGCCCAGGCCGGGGGCCCCGGCCTTCAGCTCGGAGACGTGTCGTGTGTCGTTGAGACGTGGAACTCAGCACGATTCGCTTTCGGAGAGTGGGTTCCCCACATCCTTCCGATGCTACGTACATGAAGCTATACCTTATGAGGTGACATCCGACCACAAACTGTTTTAATACTTTTTGCTCCTTGCTTGGTCCAAGAATTTCATTGGGCGCAACCCAAACGCGGGAAGTCATGGGAAATCTCTTCGGCTTGTGCCAAGTCGATGCCAAGTGCCAACCAAAAAGTCGAACTTGCTACCTAGCACTTCCTGTTTGGGTGCCCTGTCTGAAGACCTATTTAATCCTATTTATATATAGTTATATGGGGGTGTACTAGGTTCCCCCAGGTACCCGGTGATCCCCACGGTGACGGCCTCGACCGCAGAACCAGGCCGGACCGTCTCCGAGCGCCGCGCGCTTTGTGCCAGGGCCTCTTAGCGGCCGAAGGCCCCATCGCCGCTCGGCCACCCGGGGGCGCTCGCCCGCGGCCGCGAGGTCGGAGGGGCCTTTAAAGAGTGAAGAGCGAAGCGGACATGAACATGGAAATCAAGGTACCTGGTGCGACGAAAGTAGGGAATGAGGGTGGCTGGATCCAATGGAATCTCTATTGGGGGGCTCATTCCCTTATTCCCTACGAGTCGCACCAGTCAGTCAAGGTACCTAGGAGCTCAAAGTAGGCGAAAACATGTGACGGCTCCCTGAGAACTGGAAAGTGTGTTGGTCGTGGTTTCAAAAGCCTGCCACTTGATGGATGAGAACTCGCTAGCCTAAACTAAGCTTGCTTGACAACATCCCTACGAAAATTTGTGTTTCGCAATGTATTTTGCCGTGACTGGAGAGTATCAACCATCGCCGAGGTCGCCTTTGTCGAAATGCGCTATCTCCCTGAGTGCCTTGGTCTGGATGGAAGTGAGACACCCACCCCCCTAGCTGCCAACATGGATGATCTACGAGAGGAGGTGTTCAAGATGGTTGGGTCTTTCTTCAAGTACCGATTCTTTAGTCCTTCCTCATCGGAGAAAATCGGTTCTTTTTCTTTTGTCCATTGTTGTCATGTTTCTTCCAAGGTCACCTTAATGCAACTGCCCACAGGTCGGACATCAGACCCATGACCCGTCGTTGTGACGATGTGGGATGATGCGACCCGCGTTTGGCCGTCTTCCGAGCGGTCCCACAGAACCCGGTACACTCCATGTATGGTGTCGTATATTTTGCCTACATTGGTTGGAGGGGTCCATGTAGGTTGGAGCGGTCCATGTAGGTTGGAGCGGTCCATGTAGGTTGGAGGGGTCCATGT